CTCGCAAGCACTTGCGCATGCGCCAAGGCCCTTGTACGGGTTCTAATGAACGCCCGAGGGCCTTTGGCCCGAGATCATTACGATCAGTTAACGCCCGTGGAACATACATAATTTTATTTTTTGATTCAGATTCACTTATTTTCTAATTAACTTGATGTCAATTTTACTCTGTTTATCTTTTCATAATTCCATACTCTAATTTCCTTTCATAATTGGGAACATGTTTCATCATTCCACTATTTTTATATTTCCCTCGTAACCACTTTCCTCTCGATCCAGGTAAGTTATGCAGCGTATGTGGAAATCCATATCGAAGGAAATAAAATCTATAACGTAACAAAAAAAAATATTCCAACAAGTGTGTAAAATAACTACTGACAAAATATGTCACCTTTTTAAAGGTTAATATTATAATATAAACGAAATTTATATTCGTTGTAATTATACAAAATGGAATGATAGTCGTATCGAATCGTAATATTACAAAACTGCTTATCTAAGCAAAGCCGATTTAAAGGTCTCGCTTCATAACTGCGCACTGTCGCTTTAAAGTAAGACGTCGTTTCTTATTTCGTAAACGTCTATTTTATTCAATCTCTAGAAAAAGTGATTACATTTAGGGCAGACCAGTGTGCTAAAAAGTTTAAAGTGAGACTTGATCAAATGCTCAGTCAGATTGCATCAAAGAAAACAAAATTAGTTCATCTGATCGAATCAGACACTTAGGACCTTAATGTAACATAGTATCCTATTAAATTATTTCTGAACTTGAAGTAGAATGAAACGGAACTCATAAACTTTGTCAAAAATAGTGGTAAAAGTGATTTTATTTTGGCTATCGGGCGCGTGCCGCAACCTTTCCTAATTGCAAAATAAAATGCCATTTCAGCACTAAGGTGATAAATAACTTATCTATTTTGGGAATCTACAGTCATAGGAAACTGATATCAGTTTTGTAATAAATGTTATTGCAACACGTCTCGCTGCTCACGGTATAACAATTCTAGTCCTTAACAAAAATAGAAGAAAGGCCTTAGCAAGAGTCCTGTGCTTATGTATGTTGGTCATCTTAAGTCTTGTGGCACTTCATGAATATCCATTTTTGGAGTTCAATGTCTTCTTCGAGGGTAAGAATTCGTTTTTCCGCAATATTTTACGTAACGGAAGTGGGGGCACATAGGCAACACGCACGACAGCGGTGTCTAGAGAGAAGCAGTTGTGCATGCTGCAGGCGCGGACTGGAAACAAGTTAATAAAACTGGTTTTAGGCGTCGTCTGATTCTATTAACCACCCCATTACATAAAATATGTTAAATTCAAGAAGCTGGAGGGAGGCACAATGTAGTATACATTATATGTCAAGTTTCATGTAGTCGAACCTTTGAAGCCTTCTTACAGCTCTGATCAAGGGCAGTTTTGACGTAGGCACCCTCCGCTGACGTTCCTTGATGCGTCTATGTGTGATTCTCAATTTATTTAAGATGTCATTTAACTAGAGCTGGTCTGGCCGGAAATAAATGATTTCGTCTTTTCGTGAAATTTCTAGAGAGATTTAAGTTTAATGAGCACTCGTCAGGGTTCGTTTACATCCAACAAGCCTGACATGAAATTATCCGTTATTCAATATTCCTTCAGTGTGAGTTTTACACCTTTCAAAATCCAAGCAACTCATCGTGGGACAAACCCACGCTCTGCAGGTTCAGAGGTCCGTTGCCTAATCACTCACCAGCCGTGATATCCGAAGTGTCTACCCTTATAATGTTTTAGCAACAAACTTGAATTGTATGTCAGACTTTTTAATCTCCTTATTATATAATCTTTCTAGCTTATAGATTATAAAAATGATTTCACCCAAAAACTCTGAGCGCTTATCTCATAACCGGTAAAAAATAATTATTTGCTTTTAGCGTTCCAAGCTTCGTTAAAAATTAATTTAATTTTGTTCATAGCACATGGCGCTGCAAGCGGACGGAGATAAACCGGACCAGAAGGATAGGGGCAGCGCGGAGGAGGGAGCTAAGAAGCTCGAAGGCGCAGAGGTGAGACCTTTAACCAAGCTGATTCTCATACTTATTAAACTCTCAAACGTAATTCTCTTCCATTTCATACAAAAAATTAAATTCGGTTTAGGGGAAAAGTGTTTATTACATTATTACATAGTGTGCAAAATATCATGTTGTAGAAAACCAGAGTTGATTTATTTTTATTAATTTTTGGTCACAAAATAATATTGCTTAGCATTAGTTCTATAATAATTACGCTTACAATATTTAAATTTGAAAGGATATCTATCATAATCATGCATCTAGGAGTATTTTGTTTTAATTACATTTCTTTTCCTCAACCAAAAGTCTGACTACAGCATAAAGAAAAATAATTCAAGTCCCCTCACTCTATTATTGAAAATTTTTAAATCATAATCCATGAAGAAAACGGGAACAACAGAAGACACTGAATATGCTCTCAACGTACCAAGAGGACCATGAAACACAATCAGACATCTCATGTGAAGGATTCTTCTTCTAATTTTATTATGTTGACAACAAAGAGGCAACACTTTCAAGAAAAAGAGATTGACTTTGGTCACAAGTCACAAGCCATTAACTATATTTATAAATGTATACGAAGCTTACGAAATATATTTTCAAAATAAGGAGAATAATACATGTTCAACTCAAACATCAATGTTGTCCCAAAATATTTTCGATACTGAAGGAAATCAAGCCTGAAACAATGTTCCTGTGATAACCTGTTAACAGCGCCTATCGACTTCTAATTATTATCTTATTTCAACTCTGTCTCCGATCATATTAGTTATTTCAGGTATTGTCTATTCTAAAGAAAGATACATAACTATTCAAAATATTGCAGTTTGAATGCAAAAATAGGCTTTTCACTTCCAATTAATGGGAACAAAAGTTAAAATCTTGACTGATTATATTCCAGTTGTACTAGCATTCTCTTTCAGTAAATCTCACTTCTCTAATACCTATGAAATGTAGTATTACATAAAAATTACATCTTATCGGTTTCTATATTTGATTATTGTTTTCGGTTTTGTACTAGGATAATTGCAATGATGACATTGTCTTCAGCGAGTTTGTATTTGACGGTTTGGTAAAGGAGTTAATGTAGAAATAATTATCTATTGTCTATTTCAAAATCGAAGTGCCCCTTTGCTTTAATCAAAGATACCACTAATGATGGAAAGGCTCCATAATTCTAATTTATCTCTAATATAATATGACATTATTTTCTCTCTTCTTCCAAAACTCTCCCTCTTTGTTATCTACGATATTCTAGGAAGACCTGAAGATTTGATGTTCCCTCAAACTTTGTTCGTGTTCTCACAGCCCAACAAGAGTTCCGCAAGTCGGCTGTCAAAAACTTCCTTGAAGTCTCTGAAGCAGAAGAAATGGCCTGAGGTGAAGACGAGTTCCCGTCGAGAGGCGTCAAGGCACTCTTCAAATGCGAGAAGACCGCAATCATTAGACAGAGGATACCAAATACGAGTGATATACGATTTCCCTGTGGCGAGAAAAAGAAAGTCACAAACGTCTTACTGTCGAAATGGCAGTCTTCGATATCCATCTCCACCCTTTGTGAGCACCTCATCGATATACATCAGGTGTGTTCGAAATTGTCGCTTGAATATCATCCGTAATTAATATTTCTTACTTAAAAAAGTGATACCTGGTGGGGAAAGTAACTTGGATATTTCAAAAATTCCAAAACTTTACGAAAATCAAAATAGTTTTCAATAAACTATACGAGTATCATTTTTATAAATATTACATCTACAGCTGAGTTATACAGACGGAGGCAGCACAGATAAGACATAAAGAACACAAATGAACTGAGAAACTGACAAACTATTTTGTTGAAATTTGAAAAACTGTTTTACGATAAACAGTGACCTTTAATTTCTCAAAATTTTGAAAGGGAATAGACACTTTACCTCTTAATTAGGCTTCTGATAAATTAAAAGTAAAAAAGTTAAGAGTATTTACTAAGCATTACAAAATAAATCAATTTGAAATAAGGCTTTATCAAACGTTCAGTTAAACACGTATTTTTTCACAATTACGAACAACACTTTTCTTAGTTTTGACCTTTATTTCTCTACCAAAGAGCATCATCAAATAGAAACGACATTTGTCCTGTATTTTTTTTTATGAAAAATACCTTCAATATGCACACACACATACAGCAGCATCAATGCTTTCCCCGAAATAATTATTATTATTTCATATTTAAATATCATAATTAAACATTAATTAATGATTCTCAAAAGTAGACGTTAAGAAAACATTTTGTCGTAAAACATCGAAATGCTATTTTCATTTCAAATGTATCTAATGTTTGTTTTTCCAGAACCACCAGCCCATACAAAAAGTAAACTTCTCTTCCGTTTTCGATTAAAAAGATTTGAAAACAGTCAGCATTTTTCAAGCATTACACAAAGTTGTAAATAAAGTTAGTGTTCGGAAAAGACCAATATTAAGGAAATATTTTGTCACAATTACTCGATGAATACTCTTTCCTCAATCCTATGTTTCATCTACATAGAATCGCCTATTAGTGTTGTATCATTCTTGTTAGTTTATGATAAAAAATATTGTCATTACAGAGAAGATTTCTGGTAACATAAATCACCAAATTTTCTTTATAAGAAACTACGCTCAGCGGACATTTCGTAGAACTGTTAACTATCCTCATCATCTGTATTCAATATTTGTCACCTCAAAACCTTTGACCAGTACTGAACACATCCTCCCAGAGAGTGTTAGATAATAAGAGGTTAGAAATCAAATTACGTTTCATCAAAAACAATTAATTAATTAGAGTGGAAATTGAGATTGAGAAGTTAATCAAACATATTATTGCGGCACTTCCATACAGATTTCTCTAATTATAACACATAATAATAGTAAATAATAAAAATATCAAATAAAAACTAAAAGTAAGTGCAGCAGTAGCCACAAAGGCTTCCCTTAGTGATGGAACAGTCGCCTTCCCTTGTTGCCCCGCAGGACCACTCGCCAGTTGAAGGTGCGGCGGCCGCGTCGCCACCGCCGCCGGCGCCGCCCCCGTCGCTGCCGCCCCCGCCCTCGCGCTCGCCCTCGCGTTCGCCCTCGCCCTCGCCCTCGCCCGCGCCCCCGCCAGCGCCTTCGCCCTCGCCCTCGCCCGCGCCCGCGCCCGCGCAGGAGCCCAAGTGCGCCGGCGGCGCCCGCGCGCAAGCGTCCAAGTGCGCCTCTGCTCTGGCCGCGCGCTTCAAGGTACACGCGGGCGCTCGCTGCCGATATATCGGACACACTGACACCTGCTTTTGCCTTGACACTTGCCTTTTGACACTTGCCTTTTGACACTTG